AGGGGTTGTGTATTATTAAAGCTGTCTTAGCCCATGTTGCCGAGATTAGGCGAGGCCGAATCAACTAGCCTAGCCTAGAAAAAAAATAGATAAATAACCGTCCTTATATAGGCCTACCTCCAAAACATAGAACTTTTCCCACACATCTTGTTGTCTTGTCTTGTCCCCTTTTCTTCTCATGCCAGTTACACACCACTTCTTTGTTTATAAACAAATCTAAGTCGTCTTCATCGTCCATGACCATGTCTTCTAAATCTAGCCACATTGTCTCCACAACATCTGTAGATGGTGGGTCCTCGTGTTCAAAAACAAATTGTGGGACCATTGTATCACAAAAATACGTACAATCAAGTACGATAATATTACTATCCTAGGCCTACTTGGGATTACTTGATAAAATAAAGTAAACAAGCTCAAAGTACACTGAAATCTAAATAACAAAAGCACCAGAAATCATCCGTAAATCTAAACACGTCTCTCGCCGAACGTTCTTTTTTTTGGCGCCCGTCCAGCTCTCTTCAAATCGCAATGATAGGTGGGATGCTTGGCTCGAGCAACCAACTATGGTTACTTAGTGTAATATTATTACGTTTTACAAAACTGTATTTAATTTGAATATACACTGAAAATCAGTATTTCTCTGTCTTACATTACACTAAATAAATAATGATACCTATATAAGACTCTTTTGAAATTTAAATAATACTTACATTATTTAACCTTTGACCTTGCCTGACTAGGCCGTGCGCTTGTTTGTTTGTTTTTTTAGCTACTAGGCTAGGTCGAGATAGTGGAGTTTCTAACTAAGTCTTCACTTTCGCTGTTTGTATAAACAATATTTAACGTTAGATAGTTGTAATCAAATTCCACGAAGAAGTCAGTCGTTATTGAAAAGGTTTTGCACTAGGCCTAACATTGAACCAACTGAGGTTGATGACGAAGCGTCCTGTACCCTTGCATTGGTAAGTTAATTAATATTAATTATTGTAGGCCAAGGGCATTATCTAGGCATAGGTAAACCAGGTTGGCCTAGTGAATAATTGGTTTAAATTAATTAGTACTAGCACATATACTACAAGCGGTCGGTAGGTTTAGGGGCATTAGTTGGACGTTCGGGCCCATCATCGGAGAAACGGGCCCAACATGACTAGGCCTAGGGGGCCTAGGCTAGGCCTAGGCCTAGTAGTACAAGATCGGGCCCACCCAGCGGCCGATCGGGCCCAACCCAGATTAATTTTTATCATTTTTTTATTTTGACCTATTTTCAATGAAATATGAGGCTGCTTGGTTTAAACTCCAGTGTTCTGGTATTTTTTTAGGCAGCCAGTTCTTTAAAGAAAGTTTTATTTATTTCTTGGTTCTGTTGTCTTGTGAGCATAACACCTTTATCCATCACGTCACATCAATCAAATGATCAATTAATATATCAATTATAGCCTATAACACTAAGTAAACCAAGTTTATGTTTGGTTCATTATTATATATATTTCGGTATTTAGCACAAACATTTTAGTTAAAAGACAAATTTTATTGGATGACATTGTTAACAATAACAAATACCAGTATAATAAGAATTACAATAATAATTAATAATAAACACTCATCCAAATGGTCCAACAAATAACTTCCGTTGTCTTATTTATTTATTTTCGACCATAAAGAAGAAATAATTCACATAGATATGATCTAAATTCTGTTTTTTATAATAATTTAATTGTGCATTGCAAAGTACTGTGTATTTTTATTGGTTTGACAGTTTTTTTTAACTTTACATTATTGTATTTTGCTCACAACAATGACATGGTTAGTATTATGCTATACAGTATCTTATTAATATATTAAGAACTCAAAAAGGTTAAGTTCAAGTGAACATTTATTGCCCAATAATTCTTACATTGTACATAATTGAGCATGTTAAATGATTCATTTTCCAAACTTGAAATTTGGAAAGTATTAACTATCATATGCAATATGATTCAGATGATAATGATGCAAATGACCATGATGGAGTATATGATGATCATACTGATGACCATGATTCAGATAATGATGATACAAATGGCTATGATGCAGTAGATGATGACCATGATTCGGATAATGATGCAGATAATTATGATACAAATGACCATGATTCAGATGACAATGATGAAGATGAAAATAATGCAGATAATGTTTTACTAAATGGTGATCCTGAAAGTGATGATCCTATTTTTCCTGGATCAGATATTTCTAAGTCTCATGGTTTACTTTTGCTATTAGCATATGTGTTAAAACATCGGTTGACACAACAGGGCATCCATGAACTTCTTGATCTTATCAACACACTATTTGGTGCCGTATTTCCGGCATCAAAATATTTATTTTTCAAGCATTTTACAAACTATAAAGAATTTGAAAAAATGCACTTTTATTGTAAGAAGTGCTTAGCGTACATTGGGGAGGAAAATCATTGTACAGAAATTGAAAATTGTCCAGATTGTGGAGAGCGTGTTTCTTCAAATGTAAAAAATGGATGTTTTTTCCTTTCATTTGCTGTTGGAGAACAAATGCGTCAAAAACTTGAAGATGGACTTGTAAATAGAAATACAATGATTGAGGATGGACAACTGAGAGACATTACATCTGGTCAGCAGTACAAAGAACTTTGTGATAGTGCACACCTTGGGCCGGATGACATAACGATACAATGGAATTGTGATGGGGCCCCAGTGTTCAAATCTAGCGGCTATTCGGTTTGGCCTGTTCATTGTTTAGTCAATGAGTTGCCTCCCAGATTGAGGAAAAAGCATCGACTGCTAACAACGCTATGGTTTGGACCAGCTAAACCACGACCAGACACCTATCTGAAAGTATTTGTTGATGAGATGAACAAACTTAACGATGAGGGTCTGATCTGGAAGAATGGCGACATAGAAAAGCAGTCATGAATTGTTACAGCACTATGTATAGCTGACACAATAGCCAGGCCTCTGATATGAAACTGTACACAATTCAATGGAAAGTATGGATGCGATTGGTGTTACCATAGAGGCATTAATACAGCAAGGGGAAGAGGCCATGCAAGAGTATATCCACATGGACAACATGAAATGCGTAATGCTGTCAACCATCAGGACCACGCATTTCAGGCGTTAGAAAGAAGAGAAAGAGTTTTTGGTGTTTGTGGCCCATCAATTTTGATGCTGCTGCCACACTTTGATATTATTGTCATATTATGATTATATGCATGCCGTTTTACTTGGAGTATGTAGGCAATTCGCTACATTATGGTTCGATAGTACATGTAGTCAATGCCCATGGTACATTGGCAGAAGTATGAACCGCAATAATAAACGTCTAATCAGCATATCACCACCTTCTGAGGTAACCAGGTGCCCTAGGTCATTGAAGTTAAGGAAATGCTACAAGGCAAATGAGTGGAGATCATTTCTCCTGTATTAGGCATATGCTTCAACTGGCAAAACACCTTCCAACACTACTGAGGAATTCTGTTCGAAGGTGGGGTCCTTTGTGGGCAGCATCAGGGTTCATTTACGAAGACCAGAATGGTGTGTTACAGAAATACTACAAGGGCTCTCAATACGTAGCCCTACAAATGTACAAACACTTTGTACTTAAAGAAACGCTTCAGCAAGAAGCAAAACAAAGGTTGGAAGGAGCAACTCCCATGGTACGCTGTCTCTTTGAGAAATTGACAACAACACGGAAACATCCACGCAGTCATGTGCATATCTCGAATGATGTTGTCGTTTGCGGATTGCCGAAGTACAAAAACATGACGCCCGCTGAGCAGATTGCTGTGGAAGAATGTTTAGGCAATGCATGCATTTCACATAGAGTTAAGGTTTATAAAAGGTTTATTGTAAACAATACAATGTATCACACTGTTGAATATACAAGGTCTATCAAAAGATGCAACACCACATTTATATCAAATGCAGGAACATATTGGGACATCCACAGCCTCATTGTTTGTGACAACAATATTTTTGTACTGGCAAAACAATTAAGACCTCTTCAATCAAATAGACAAGATATGTATGTACAGCAAGTGCAGAAACAAAACCGTCATCAAGCTTTTAAAGTTGACGACATGAAAATTAAAGGTGTTAAGATGACAGTTGAGGGAAAGGTTTATGTTGCTGCATTACCAAATAATTTTGAATGTGACTGAGATTGATGAAATAACACTAGTCTAGAAATAATTTTTTATCAGGACTTACAATGCTTGATTTAATATAGTCCCAGGTAAAAATTCCAGTTGAGGACCAGTTGGAAATTTTCCAACTGGAAAATTTACGACCGTAAATTGGTTTTTTTTAACTGGTTTTTGCGGAATCCAGTTGGAAAATTTCCAACTGGTTGTCAATTCCAGGTTAAAAAAAAAACCAGTTGGAAACCAGTTTTTCCAACTGGTTTTTTTCCCAGTTAGGAAAATTTTCCAACTGGTTTTTATTGAAAAGTTTTCCAACTGGTTTTTTTAAAAAACTCAATTGGAAATCTTTCAATTGGTTTTACTAATTCCAGTTGAAAATCGCTAAAAACTCACAAAAAAGATAAAGACTAATACACGAACACTATAAATTGCAACATTTTCTTTTATTTCATTTTTTAATTTTTTTATTTCATTTTTTTTTTCTTTTATAGGGGCGTCACTCCCTAAGATCTTAATGACCCGCATACCCCCACATTATTTACAAAACTATGCATCCTGGGGTAGGGTCGTCACTCTCTAAGGTCTTAATAACCCGCATACCCCCAAATTATTTACAAAACTATGCATCATGGGGTAGGGTCGTCACTCCCTAAGGTCTTAATAACCCGCATACCCCCAAATTATTTACAAAACTATGCATCCTGGGGTAGGGTCGTCACTCCCTAAGGTCTTAATAACCCGCATACCCCTACATTATTTACAATAACTATGCATCATCCCGGGGTAGGGGCGTCACTCCCTAAGGTCTTAATGACCTGCATACCCCTACAAAGAAATGTTTTTATTAAAAAAGTTTCTTCTTTAGCGGGCGGTTCAAATCCCCTATCTTCTCAGTTATAAATTTATTAAATTTAGTGCTTTCCACCGCAATTTCCTCCCGTGTTTGACCAGAATTTGATAGGTATTCTATGAATCTCTCTGAAATAGAAAAAAAAGGCATAAAAATTAGCAACTAATATTTAAGGATGATACAGTAAAGCATACAAAATTAACAAATTGTAAATATCATTAGGAGGAAAGATGTGTATTTAATTATTGAATTATAAACTAGATATTTTCTGTTATCATAAAAAAATGTAGAATTAAAGTTCATTTCTGAACATTTATCAGGAATACTTATGATAAAACAAGGGCTTAACAAATAAGCACGGTAGAGTACTTGCTGCAAGCAACTTTTCTTATGTTACTATATAACAGAATATAAGTGAATTAAGGCAAATAATCTACAGTAGTGCAATGTGGTTGATGAAACTAACAAACTGGAAATCAAACATCAAATAACTTTTTCACATTGTAAAAAATTGTCCTTAAACTCTTTCAATAGCGATATTTTATTAAGCAAAATTTACCTCTCACTGCATTATATTTTTTGGGCGTCAAAGCTGGCTTTGCTATTTTTCCCGTCCCCTTATGGCGAGGGCACAGCTTTCCTTCTACTGACTTGTTTGCCAGGATGTCTGAGCCCCACACTGACACAACAAGCTGTTTTACAAACATTGATGCTTTTTTGTTTGCCAGTATTAGTTGCCACTTCTTTACTGCCATCTTTATTCCACCTCCAAGGCGTATCTTTAGAAAATAAGGAAAAAATGATGGTTGGTTATGCAAATACAAAATTGTTGATAATTAAAAGGTAAACATGGGTGTAATGTCTATTATAAAGATTATCGGTTCAGCGCCCTCTCTAGTTGCTAGGGGCTACCAATATGGCTACGGTCCATCGTGTACACGGCGAAATACAACCTTGTGATTAAAACCAGCTTTATACGTTATCTAGTGTTCGTCGTTGTTATTCCATGGTCTCAAAGCAGGCTTAAATATTACATTGGCGACGAGGATGAACAGAATTATGCTACCTGTCCCAGGACAGCTTGATCTCACAGGTGAACAAATCCATACGAAGTGGAAGCAGTTTAAACAACGCTGGGACAACTACGAACTAGCTACAGGGGTCAGCAGCAAACCGTCCGCCACTCGAGTAGCCACGTTGCTCTCCGTTATCGGAAATGAGGCGCTTGTCGTGTAGCCAATGCTGATGAACACTTACACGCTAAACCAACAACCATAAACATCGGTGACAAAGTACTCATTAAGCAGAAACGTAGAAATATGCTCGACCCTCCATTTAATCCGGAACCTTTTGTTGTCGTCGAAAGGAAGAGAAATTGTATAACAGCACAACAAGGCGAAATTTCTGTCACCAGAAACTGTACCTTTTTCAAGAAGCTAGCAAACATGCAAAATAAAGAATGCATAACGGAAAACGAATCACAACCAACCACCAGAGCACCAATAACCAAACCGCAGCTAACTCCAACTCGACACTCTACTAGAATCAAGAAACCTCCCATAAGCTTAAATGACTATGTGACGGAATAATGAACATTTCTATTTTAAACATAAGCATATCACTTCTAAAATTTTCTGAAAGGAAATTTGAACTGTTGTTTTGAATTCAGGAAGTTGATATTTAAAGTTGTTGTTAAAGCACTGAGTTTAAGTGCACTGTTTAGAACTTAGAAAAATTAGTTTAGAACTTGTTTGATGAGCTGTGCTCATGTGTTTAAATTTTAAAGTTAATTGACACATAACAAAAAAAATATATACACATTAGACACTGTAATCTGAATGCCAGCTGTTTATTGTTAATCTGCTAAAGAAATATACTAGTCACATCATTACATAACAGAAGACAAATATATACTGTAATCATCTAAAGTAATTTAAATTCAATCTAAACAAAGGGAGGGATGTAATGTCTATTATAAAGATTATCGGTTCAGCGCCCTCTCTAGTTGCTAGGGGCTACCAATATGGCTACGGTCCATCGTGTTACACGGCGAAATACAACCTTGTGATTAAAACCAGCTTTATACGTTATCTAGTGTTCGTCGTTGTTATTCCATGGTCTCAAAGCAGGCTTAAATATTACAATGGGTAAATTAATTCTGTAATCAGAAAACATACAGATTAAATTTTAAACTTATTGTTTGTACAATACTTAAAAGCATTTGCTAGTTTGTGATTTCATTCAAAGCAGCTTTAATTTTTTACTTACAATTCCATCTTTCTGGATCATAGCATCTACTTCTTCCTCTTCGTGACTACTAGGGTTCTCAAGTTCTTCTTCCTCCATATTCCTGTCAACTGATGGGTTGGGTGCTGTCTCTTATACACATCTAGATGTGTATAAGAGACAGATCTACAGCCTCCATAGCTATGTTGACTGTTGGCTTGGGTGGGTGGGGATGATCAACTTTTGCTCGTTTGGCTACAAATACGAAAAAAGGACATGAATTCATTAGCAAAATTGTGAAATTTAAACTTTTTAAATTCATATAAAAAAATTTATTAGCTTATTTTTAGTTTACACAAAATTGGCCAAATTGTTCTTTAGGTTTTAGGTAACAGCAGCTAAACTCCTGGAATCAAGATGGCAATAACAGGCCTCAAATTTGGGGTTTGTAGAGGCACAAGGGGCGCCAAGGCCAATCTGTAAGGCATCACAGCCAATGTCTTTAAACTTAAAGGGGCTGTAAGACAACATTTTTGTTTTTTATTATTCATTCTTTAATATATTTTGTGCAACAAAGCCAAGGCAAAAAATGGGCATCAAAACCAAATGCAAGGGTACCGACGATACTGGACCTGCAATCAGGGAACTTAAAATATGTACACGTGTGGTGGCATTAACGCAAGGAGTGCGCATTTTTTTTTTTTTTTCAATTTTTAAAAAATTTTATTGTGTAAAGCACTGTACTGTAATAAAAAAGAAACATTACCAGATGGTCCAGGTAAGAGGTCTTTCAACAAAGCCTTCTGCAGATCAATATTTAATGATTTGTACTCTGCTAATTCTTGTCTAAGTGACTCCATCTGCTCACATTGTGTACTCAGCTCAGCTTTTAAGCTTGAGCACCTCTGCTTATACTTTTCTGCAGTTTGGGCAATTTTTAAAAATTCGGTTTTTGACACACTTTCTTTCGCCGGAGGATCGTCTGATGCATTTAAGCTACAAATTGGACTCCTTTTTTTTTCCTTCAGCTTCTCCGTAAGAATACTATGCAAGGCTGCCTTCTCTACTGTAACAATACTGGCCTTTTTCTGCTTCTACAATATATATATATATATATATATATATATATATATATATATAGACCTATACACTATTAAATAATTAGTATTTACATCTGCATATAAAAATGATTGCCAGCATGTTTTGTTTTTTGCGAAGGAACTGTTGAGGTGAACTTGGATAAAACATTTTCACCACTAAATAAAATATTTTTGTTCCCTGCAAAATGTTAATAATTATACAGACTTGTGTCTTTATTGCAACTTTATTACAATTTCATGTGGTCATTGCTCCCCGTCACCCTGCTAAAGACCAGCACTGCCATAGCTTCTTGTAAAGTTTTTTTCTTTTGAAAACAAATACAAAAAATAATTTAAACAAATTGAAATTTGCTTGTTTATTTATTTAGTTAGTATAAAAAGTCTGCTAAGGAAAGATTCTTTCTAACTTTGCTGTTGCTTGCAAATCTTCATCGCTCGTTTCTTCCACACTGGTGTCTAATATCTTCGGCACCTTTACTCTTGACTTCTTAATAGTTTCATCCAGCTCTTCCTTAGTATCTGTAATTTAAAAAATAAAATAAATAACGGTCCCACAAATTACCGCAATGAATCGACAATGATCAGTAAATGATGTATGCCTACTATGCACCCTATTGTCTAGTTATAATTTCATGTACATATAATAATAATTTTACATAAAATAATTACAAATTGTTTTGAAAACAAATTCGGTTAACAAAATATACTGTTTTTAGGCCTTTTTAGCTAACTAAGTTAGGCTACAGCTGCCGCCGCAGCACTGTTAACATTTTTAGGGACTTATACTATTTTTATCGGTCAATAATCTATGTCTTTTCTGTAGTTTATACTTATGATGACAATAAACAAAATTCTTGGCAGCAATCAAGTCCCTAAAAACCGGTATCCCTAAAAACTTAACAGTACTGCGGCGGTGGCTCTATTAGCCGAGCTAGCCAAAGAGGCCTAAAAACCGTATATTTTGTTAACCAAATTTGTTTTCAAAACAATTTATAATTATTCTAGGCCTATGTAAAATTATTATTATATCTTCATGAAATTATTATTATTATTATTATTAGGCATAGGCCTAATCTTCTAGAACTGCTTTCCTGTGGTTCTTTGTGCGTGTCCTAAGTAAGTTTAAGGCTAACTTAGGCCTTACACTAAAGAAAGCCAATAATGCCCAAACCAAAACATTAAGAAAGTATTAAGCTTAGGCCTAGGCCTAGGGGGCTAGGCTAATAGGATAGGCAGAAGCTACTAAGCTAGGCTAACCTACCTAGCCCTACGTTGTACCGTACCTGCTAACAACAAGATCTGAGCTTTGTAATATCCGGTATCGCCATCTTCATTGCTCCAAAGCACACGGTATGGCTTTTGTTTGTCAAAGTCACTGCTGCTGCTCGCTGGAGTAAATCGCTTAATATCACTGATAGGAACAATCGATTTAACGTTGTCGCTGATATAGCGTACATATGCATACATTGTTGTAGATGGATTATGAATAACAAAAGGTTTATCAAATAAAGGAAATCCTAATCAAAAGAAGTACTTTCAAGCTAATCTCCCGTAATCGACGTGTGAATGCCAAGCCAACTGCCGCCGAGCGAGAAAACAAAGCGAAAATTGGCGGGCTTAAAATCAGCCAATAACGCTCATAATTTTAATCATGTGATGTTATTTGGTTGTTCCCATTGGATGGCGGCCGTTGGTCATCAAAATAGACATTTTTACTGATAATAATTATTTCATATTTCACTAGGTCTATAGACCCGGAAAAAATAAATATAAAAATATTTTAAATTTGATTTTTGATTATAATAAGAAATTGGAACCCTCATTTTAAATATACTGCTATGAGAGAGCACGTGATCGCTTTTCTCTAGCCTCCCCACCAGCCAGTGGCTCTGACACTGATGACGTCATTATTATTGGCTTTCTTTTTTTCTCTCGAATTTTTTTCTTCGCAAGCGTTATAATATCCAGAACAATTTCATCTTTTAATCGTAGTTAATTACAGCAAATTGAAATGAAATGAATAATACCGGTTCAAAAAGAAAGTACAAGCAATATCTTGAACCCGATGTCAAATTTGTTGTTCCATTATCAACAAAGCGTCGTCATGATGAAATAAAGAACGTAATCGAATCTAGGCCTAGCCCTAGCATCAGTGACACCGATGATGAATCTGCCGGGCAATCGCCGGCTGATGCACAGGAAGTTTGTTTAGGCGTAGGCCTAGAAGAACTGGATTCAGAAGGAGATGTGTTTAAGGATAACACAGTGTTTATGTCTAATTTTAGTACGTTATTAAGTACTAGTGGAGGTGAGACTGATAGTGACATTGTTGTTGGAACTGATCGTATTGAAAAGAGTGTTGAAGAAGAGGCTGAGGATGAATGCATTATTTTTTCAGACAGTGTGAATGAGGTAAGGTTAATTTCATTGTTTTTTCACGCTGTTGTTCGGATTATGCTATAACGGAAGTGTGATAACTTTAATAGTTTAGGCATAGCCCTGCCTATTAGTACTGTATTATATATCATATCGCATTTGTATTTTTTTTTGTAATCAATCTAGGCCTATTCCATGATATTAATTAATAATAATAATAATATTTGCTTATTATAATTGCGTTACACTAAAGCTTAAATGCGCTTTACAATTATAAAATAAACAGACAAAAAGTTATAAAAAATATTGTTAAAATATATATTGATATGATTAAATATGAAAGAATTTGTTACACATAATTACAATTGGTAAATTTTAGCAGTATTAAATATAAATTATACAGTACAGTAGAACCCCTCATTTACGTACGGCACGGGCCCAGAGCCGTTCGTAAATTCGGGTATTCGTAAAATCGGGGTTGACCCAAATTCCTATATATTTGCACTGATACTACTTACAGTTGGCAGTTTCTAAGCATTCTGATCCCACTCTAGGCCCTGCACAAATTTGTTTTTATCGGACATTTTTACCTTCTTAAATACCTAGATCGTGGATTTTATTCCAACACAACTTCCATAGATACTTGTTTATTATATATATATTGATCATTTAATAAAACAATCAAGCACTATGTTGAATTTTAAAGCTGAAAACGATGTTTGAAAGTAAGTAAGTAAAATTTGTCGCATGCACATGTGTGAAGCCATAAAAAAACACTGACTATTGAAGAGGCCTGTTAGAGGGCCTCCTTCACTTGAGAATTACATAGTACTGTATAGTATTGTGTGTTGTGTTGTATGCATGGAAATAACAGGTACAATTCGAGCGGGTTTTTTTTTTTTTTTTTAATCTTTCGCTTCAATTTTTATGACGTCATCACCTTTATATTACGTTCGTAAAATCGGGAATTCGTAAAATCGGGGTTCATAAATGAGGGGTTCTACTGTACTTTAATTTCATTTATTTGTTTGACTAACATAAAAACAAAACAAAAAACAGTACAATGAAAACAAGGTCAGGAAATAAAAATTATCAACCAAATGGTAATGCCCGTATGATAAAAAAAAAGTTAAAACTAACAACAAACAACTATGAACGGGAAAGAAACAACGCAGTACTATGCCCTTCCTGCGGTAGGCCGTGTAAACTGAAATCTGATGGCAACTTTTTTATTACATCTGAATTACAACCACAACTTAAAGCACTTTTTCAGAAGCCTGGAATTGCAGAGCAGCTAAGACATAGCCGTGAACGAGTAAAGATAAATGAAAATAATTTTGAGGACATTTATGATGGGGACGCGTACAAAAATGTTGAAAACTTGGAGAACCCAAATAATTTTACATATTCGTTCAATACAGATGGTGTTCCCACTTATAAGTCATCACCATATTCACTATGGCCTATTTATCTGATGATTAATGAACTTCCTGTTAAAGTAAGACAAGACAATTTGATACTCGCAGGAGTTTGGTTTGGTACGTCAGAACCAAAAATGTCACTATTTCTAAAGCCGTTTGTCAATGAAGCTAGAAAATTAGCAGTTGAGGGTGTACGCTGGAAAAGAGAAGAGGAAATGGTTACAAGCAAACTATTTGGCATTTGCTGCTGTGTTGACTCTGTAGCTCGTGCCCCAATGAAAAACAAAATACAGTACAACGGATACTTTGGTTGCGAGTTCTGTTATCATCCAGGTAAATGTGTTAATCGTACCGTAAAGTATCCAGTAGATGTATGCGAGTACACAGATCGCAAAAATGATGAAATGTTGCAGGACATGCAAACTGCTCTTGAAGAGGCCAGATTGGTTCGGGGTATTAAGGGACCATCTCCTTTAATTAACCTACCGCAATTTGAAATTGTTTGGGGATTTGTACCAGATTATATGCACTGCGTTGCATTAGGTGTAGTGAAGCACCTAGTAGAACATTGGTTAGAGTCACCTGATGAAGAATGGTATATCGGGACGCCAAACAAGATACAAATACTAGACCAAAGACTGCGAGGTATCAAGCCACCAAGTGTGATATCTAGAGTTCCAAGAGAAATATCAAAAAGAAAAAGTTGGAAGGCATCTGAGTGGCATAATTGGTTAATGTATTTTTCGTTGCCATGCCTACAAGGTCTGCTGCCCGGCCCATATCTGTCACATTATAGTGCACTTGTCGAAGCCATGTTTCTGCTGATGCAAAAATCGGTAAGTCCTGCAGATGTGAATAGAGCTGATGAACTTCTCTGGGCATTTGTTGTTCAAATACAAGCTCTTTATGGGTCATATGCAATGAAATATAATATTCATTCACTCACTCACTTAGCTAAAAGTGCCAAGTTGTGGGGTCCTTTGTGGGCGCATACCTGCTTTCCATTGGAATCGGCTAATGCTCTTGTGAAAACACTGCATGGTAACAGAGGAATCCCACAACAAGTAATGCACAATTTTCTAATGGATAAAGCACTTCCAGTTTTTCAGGAAATGTTTGACATTTCAGCAAGTACTGAACAGTTTTTAGAAACTTTAAATAAGAAGCGCAAACCTGTTCCTACGGATCAGTTAGGATCAATTCTCCTTTACGGGCAGCCAAAGCTTCAGCAATTGACCGATGTTGAAATCGCAACACTTAATGCAAGTGGTTACGCTGTACTCGATAATGTCAATGTTTATGTTTGTTTTTGGCAAAAAAGGATTTTTGTTCTGTAGTGAAATGTATCAAAGAGCGGAGACAAAAATGAATACAATTGCGCAATTGGAAGACGGTAGTGTATCAGCTGATACACTGGTTGGTAATTGTTTCATGGTAAATATACCAAACAAATCATTTGTATGTACCTTGCCAAATTACTGTGTAATGAATTAAGTTTTTGTAATAATTAATTACATTAATCACATTAATTTAATTGGATTAAGTGACACTTATTTTAATATAAAAAAATATGAAATGCTATTGTTTGTGTGGAATATTACCAGTGTTAGAGGTATATTTTTTAATTCAATTAATGGTTCCTGTGTTGTACAAATAAATTGCAATATTTTATAGTTTAAATACTGAACTGTTGGACCCCATTTTTTTGTACATTATTATTCTAGAATTCGTTCAATGTATATTATCGCAGAGTATAATTGCATAGATGAAATGTTGCATCTTTCCCTATTTGTATTAATGGAATTTATTACTGTACATACTTTTGTATATATATTTATGTATATTTATTTTCCATTTCAAAAAATCATGACTTCCATTTTGAAATGCTAAAATAACGTAAATTCCTTTTGAGTATACTGATGTGCATGAAAAATTGCAAATTCTGTTTATATATATTTGCATGTAAAAACTAAAAAAAAGTAACATAATACAGTAATCAATAATTCAGATCACAGAAGTACAAAGAAACCTGTATTTATTACCTCTAGGAGCTTGCATTTATGGTTTTTAATAATAATAAATAATGTTCAAAACTGTCCATGATATTTATTTGGTTTTTTAAGGTATTAACTCTCATACCTACTATGAATAAATGCAAATTTAAAGAATTTGATAGTGTGATTTTTTATTTGAGTTGTACATGTTATTGATTTATTCGCATGTTTATTACATACTATAAAACTTTGAAAAGAAGCCAGTACCTCACTAATATATAGGTATTATTTAGGACCAGTTTAACTAGTTGGTAAAACCAGTTGGACCAGTTGATGAAACCAGTTGGAACATTTTAACCAGTTGGTGAAACCAGTTGGAACATTTTAACCAGTTGGTAATACCAGTTGGAACATTTTAACCAGTTGGTGAAACCAGTTGGACCAGTTGGACCAGTTGATGAAATGTTTATAACAATAATAATTAATTAATTAATTAGAAAAGCAGTCCAACGGTCTCACAGCTATTTGCAAAGAAATCTTTCACCGCAACTGGTCTTAATGGGGGTTCAACAGGGTCATCGCGATTCCCAGCTGATTATAATCCGTATTATTAACAAATTACGAAACAGACAAAAAAAAATGGTATGCTTGCTGAAAAACAGCAATTTTCAGACTAACAAATTTATTTAATCACAAGCTTTCAACCACGCAGTGGTCTTCTACAGGAGAATGTACAAATAGGATAAGGCGTGATCTCCAAATTATTCCAGACGACAAATCAGCGCTCAGACGTGTTTTCTATTGTTCTACCAGACGCGTCTCAAAACCCCCGTTCGATACTGCACCGTCTAGACGCTGATATTCCGTTTTGGCAAAAGCTCCTCCCACTCTTTACAGCCTACTGCACATGTTTGTTTGGCCGTCAAAACGGGTCCGAACGCGTCTGAATTGTTCCGCGACTATACGTTGAACTTTCAACAGCGTTGAGTTCAAAAGAGGGGAAGTCCATTCCGTCGTACACGGAGAAGTTAATGTCGAATATTCATAGGCTATTTATATTTTTAGACGAATTGGTGTTTATTTTGTGATAACTTATAATGAAATAAAACATGGAAAACTGTAGTGTTGGAAGGTGTTTTGCCACCAGACTTCAAAAAACATTGGGAACTTTTAGTAACAGGCATACATTGCTTGCTGCAAAAGGTTGTAACAAACACTTTGATAGAAAGAAGTGAGAAATGCTTAGTCAAGTTTGTGAAGAAGACAGAAACTCTTTATGGCCTGGAACATGTGTCATTTAATGTCCACCAGTTGAAGCATATGCCTAATTCTGTTCGAAGGTGGGGTCCTTTGTGGGCAGCATCAGGGTTCATTTACGAAGACCAGAATGGTGTGTTACAGAAATACTACAAGGGCTCTCAATACGTACCCCTACAAATGTACAAATACTTTGTACTTAAAGATGTATCACACTGTTGAATATACAAGGTCTATCAAAAGATGCAACACCACATTTATATCAAATGCAGGAACATATTGGGACATCCACAGCCTCATTGTTTGTGACAACAATATTTTTGTACTGGCAAAACAATTAAGACCTCTTCAATCAAATAGACAAGTTATGTATGTACAGCAAGTGCAGAAACAAAACCGTCATCAAGCTTTTAAAGTTGACGACATGAAAATTAAAGGTGTTAAGATGACAGTTGAGGGAAAGATTTATGTTGCTGCATTACCAAATAATTTTGAATGTGACTGAGATTGATGAAATAACACTAGTCTAGAAATAATTTTTTATCAGGACTTACAATGCTTGATTTAATATAGTTCTTGAGTATTGATGAAGATGTCATTTGTACATAATGTTGTTTAAAAATTGATAAATTAAACCAAAGATTGCGCAGAATTCCATGCTCTGTATTATTTTTTCCAATGTTTAATTTATCAATAGTTCTTGAGTAATGATTTAGATGTCATTTGTAAATAAATATTGTTTTATAATTGATAAATTAAACTAAAGATTGCACAGAATTCCATACTGTGTATTATTCCTTCCAATGTTTAATTTATCAATAGTTCCTGAGTATTGATAAAGATGTCATTTGTATATAATATTGTTTTATAATTGATAAATTAAACCGAAAATTGCGCAGAATTCCATGCTCTGTATTATTCCTTACAATGTTTAATTTATTAATATTTCTTGAGTAATGATTTAGATGTCACTTGTACATAACATTGTTTTATAATTGATGAATTAAACTAAAGATTGCGCAGTTTCCATACGGAGTATTATTCCTCCAATGTTTTAATTTACCAATAGTTCCTGAGTATTGGATAAAGATGTCATTTGTATATAATATTGTTTTATAATTGATAAATTAAACTAAAGATTGCGCAGAATTCCATTCTCTGTTTATCAATAGTTCTTGAGTATTGATAAAGATGTCACTTGTAGAGTATATAACATTGTTTCATAATTCATGTAGTGAACCAAATAAATAATTATATAAATTGTATTTTACTGTGTTTTGTAGCTCTTTTTATATTATGCTTGTCCTCGTTAAAATAGAATTTGTCATTTTGATGCAGATAAGACCACAACATTTAAGTGAATCCTAGGAATTTCAGGGTAACTGGTTTTTTTAGTTGTCAATCCGTTGCCTCAAAGTTGACAATATAGACCTGTATAGGCTGCCTAGAGGAGCAACTTACACAAACCTATAAGCAGCTGATATGCTCATATTTGGCTGCCTACAGGTCGCCAATAGGCTGCCTATAGGATCATATAGGGATCCTATTCGAGCCTATAGGATCATACTTTCTGCCTATACTGTAGGTTTCTACTAGCAGCCTATAGGATCCTATAGGCTGCTATTGAAACCTAAGTACGAAGCCTATAGGATCCTATAGGACTTTTTTTATCAGTAATGGCTGTACTGTAATTTGGCCTTTTTGAAGAGACCAATCAGATTTCAGTAATTCGAGACAAGCTTGCTGGCTCTGTAGTAACAGTTAAAACAGACTGGATAGACATTTTTGCAATATCAACCCAATTAACATTGTTGTTAGATGGATAAAAGTGAATGGGGTGGGGAAGGGAACTACAACCACTCTAGATGTGTATAAGAGACAGGGGGATATGTAGGGGATCTGGCTCCACCCTACTCAATCAAAAATTATATATGTGTTTTCTACATTTCAGATGAAGCATTTTTTGTGGGGGGGGGGGGGCAGAGGCCTGGAGATTTCCCCTGGGGAATTTTCAAGAGATTTTGAGTGACTTCCATCCACACCCATCTTGCTGTCATCGGGGAATCATTACTGTCGGGGGACTCCAAGGTCCCCCTCACCCGTTGAGCATCCTGGCGCCACCCCTGATTTTCAAAGTCATAATCGACTGTAAAAAAAAATATACAACTTCCCAACCGATCGGTTGGGAAGTTGTATGTTTTTTGTGGTTTTCCCCAGCACCCATTTGGAAATACCAGTTCGAAAAACCAGTTCCTGCCAAAAAAAACCCAGTGAACCCATAGGCAGCCTATCCCATTTCTACAGGACCCTGTAGTTCCCTAGGCCACCTGGAGGTCCCTGTGCCACCTGTAGGTCCCTATAGAGCCTATATGTCACTATAGGCCGCCTATAGGATCCTATAGGCCCCTATAGGTGGCCTATATGCCCCTATGGCGGCCTATAGCATGCCTATAGGATGCTATAGGCAGCCTATAGGAACCTATAGGCTGCCTATGGATCCTATAGTATACACATCTACACTTATTTTAATATAAAAAAATATGAAATGCTATTGTTTGTGTGGAATATTACCAGTGTTAGAGGTGTATTTTTTAATTCAATTAATGGTTCCTGTGTTGTACAAATAAATTGCAATATTTTATAGTTTAAATACTGAACTGCTGGACCCCATTTTTTTGTACATTATTATTCTAGAATTCGTTCAATGTATATTATCGCAGAGTATAATTGCATAGATGAAATGTTGCATCTTTCCCTATTTGTATTAATGGAATTTATTACTGTACATACCTGTCTCTTATACACATCTAGATGTGTATAAGAGACAGGTATAGTATTGTGTGTTGTGTTGTATGCATGGTAATAACAGGTACAATTCGAGCAGGTTTTTTTTTTATAATCTATCGCTTCAATTTTTATGACGTCATCACCTTTATATTACGTTCGTAAAATTGGGAATTCATAGGATCCTATAGGTGGCCTATAGGATCCTATAGGCTGCCTATAGGATCCTATAGGCTGCCTATAGGATCCTATAGGCGGCATATAGGATCCTATAGGCGGCATATAGCATGTCTATAGAATCCTATAGGTGGCCTATAGGCTGCCTATAGAATCCTATAGGCCGCCTATAG